GGAGGCTCAGAACGGAGGCATCAGGAACGGGGCAGGGAGGCTCAGAATGGAGGCATCAGGAACGGGGCAGGAAGGCTCAGAATGGAGGTATCAGGAACGGGGGAGGAAGGCTCAGAATGGAGGTATCAGGAACGGGGCAGGGAGGCTCAGAATGGAGGTATCAGGAACGGGGCAGGAAGGCTCAGAATGGAGGTATAAGGAATGGGGCAGGAAGGCTCAGAATGGGGGCATCAGGAACGGGGCAGGGAGGCTCAGAATGGAGGCATCAGGAACGGGGCAGGAAGGCTCAGAATGGAGGCATCAGGAACGGGGCAGGGAGGCTCAGAATGGAGGCATCAGGAACGTGGCAGGAAGGCTCAGAATGGAGGCATCAGGAACGGGGCAGGAAGGCTCAGAATGGAAGCATCAGTCACATTCCAGTCTGTAGAACATACAACATTGGCCAGAGAGGTCCCGTTGAAGAATTCATGCTAGATGTCGCAATACATCACCAACCCTGCCTCACAGCCTTGAAATTTTCCGAGAGAGGTACAAGAAGTCAGAAACAAGCCAAGAGTCAACAGGAGATAAAGTAACCAGAAGCATTCAACTAACATCTATAGGAGACCGAGTATTATTAATGTCGATGCTAGCTTTCTGTGTGATCTTGTCCCAGACAGTGCCCAGCTCCCCCTTTGAAAATGTCCACATGCTCAATGTCCATAACACCAGCTAACTCATGTTCCCTGCTTTACCTTGATCTATTCAATAGAAATAATCTGTCACCCAGGTACATAGTGTAGTTGTTTCATTTTATAAATTCTGCATCAATTTTCCTTTAAATCTACAATGGTCTGAGCTTATCAGACCTAAACTATAGCTTATTCTCGTTGCTTTACTGTGTGTAGGCGAAGTACTCCATCTGCGGTTTTACCAATATTAAAAGTCTCCTTTAATTTGTAATGAATACAATTATCTAGAACAGGTAGATCAACTTGAAATTTTAAAATGTCTGTAAAATATGCATTCTGCTTACCTATGATGGTAAGGGATGAAAATCTTGCTGCACGTATTTCTGTCACTAGAAAGAAAAAGCAGGGGAACTGCTGAAACCGAAATAGCCGAGACAGACTCGAAAAGGTGTCTTCTTATCAATCTTTCGAATTGGCAGAAACAAAATGGGGAAAAACACAGTTGAAGAGGAGGATCTATTAAAAGATCTGTTGAGGCAAGAACAGCAACAACAAGGCACAATTACTCAAACTACTTTAACCACTGAACATTAAATTCTGATTGGCTCAAGACCAACTGCAGGGAATGTCTTCTTTTTACCGAATCAAACAGCCCCGCAGCCTGAAGGAGCGAGAGCTGTGCTTTAGATGCAAGCAGAGATTCTGCAAAGAGTATCAGGCAGGATGCAACATCACAGGATGTCAACAACACAACACAGGCGCAGAACTGGGTTGCTGTGTCTTAAATATGCAGGTGCAGATTCTAAGGATTTTTGGCCTACAAATCCTGGGGACTATGGGATTACTGGTCTATGGACCTACAGCTTAGACCAAAAAGAGATCCTTTTCATAAAATTCAACGCAATGCAGAAATACAGCAGACACTCGCTCATTAAGCTTCATTAAAGAACTATCATTACATTGCTAGCTTTGTCTAAGTGCTCTTTCCCATCTGAATTAGAGTTAGATTTCTTTTAATTTAATCATTCATGGGATGAAGGTATCACTGGCTAGACCAGCATTTATTGCCTATTCCGGAGGGCAGTTAAGAGTCAACCACATTGCTGTGGGTCTGGAGTCACATGCAGACCAGACCAGGTAAGGATGGCAGTTTCCTTCCCTAAAGGGCATTAGTGAACCAGGTGGGTTTTTCCCGACAATTGACAATGGATTCATGGTCATCATTCGACTCTTAATTCTAGTGTTTTTTTAATTGAATTCAAATTTCACCATCTGCCATGGTGGGATTCAAACCAAGCACCACCACCCCCTCGGAACATTACCTGGGTCTCAGGATTAACAGGCCAGCAATAATACCACCAGGCCATTACCTCCCCAGGTTTCAGTGATGATGACTGATGGATAAATATTAGACAAGACACCAGGAGGAACGGTCTTATTTCAAAATCATGTCATGAGATCTTTTATGGCCCACCGAGCTGGAAAATGGAATTTTGTCTGAAGGCCTCAAATGAAAGGCACTGTTGTATTAGACCATCAGGGTCTGAAAGGGTTAATGCTAAGAAATGCCTTAAACACCGCCCACTACACTGACATTATAAGGAATTGTTGGGAGAACAGCTTAGAATCTTGGAGGTGTTAGGCCAAACATCAAAATCTTGGGTCAAAATCCTGGAATTCCCTCTCTAATGGCATTGGGGGGCACATGGACTGCAGCGGTTCAAGGAGGCAGTTCACTACCACCTTCGCAAGGGCACTAGGGATGGGCAGTGACTGCTGGCCCAGCCAGCGACTCCCATATCCCACAAATGAATGCAAAAAATTCGAGGGCTTCCTCATCGCCTCTGTAACAATGTCTAGCACCTCAGTGTAACTTGTGCCGAGTTGCCTTCAAGCAGCAAACCGCATCTTGTTTAAGACAAGAGTGTCTTCTCATTAGAATACCAGGTGATTTTCCTCCAGCACACCAGACTAAGCTGGGCCCATAGTTCCTGTCCCTGAAAGCAGATAGTGGCAGCAAACCCAACCCATAGAAAGTACAAATGCACGCAACTTCATATGGGATTGCTTATGCATTAGTTAGCACCTCTGACAGTGCACTATCCTACACACAGTACTGCAATGGCGTTTCAGGCTAGAGGTTTGTACCCAAGCCTCTGGAATTAAACCCATGTTGTTCCTGTTCAAAATAGTGCGTTTTACCAACTGAGCCATATCTGACACAAAACTAATTCTAATAAACTAGCTGGAATAACGTGCCTGTTACACTTAAACTCTGATCATCATAAACTCTAATTTACAATGAACCCAAACTGGCAAAATAGGATACTATTTAGCAAAACCGTGCCACAGTGGAACTCTTATTGTAACAAGTTGTGTTATAATGAAAATAAACATCATCGTAAGCAGCTGTTAGAAGTAGACTCCTGATAAAATGAAATCACGATTTATAAAGCATAACATACCTGATTGCATTTAACTGATCCCTTAAACTTTTTTTTATTCCTTCACGGGATGAGGGCATTGCTGGCTAGGCAGCATTTATTGCCCATCCCTAATTGCCCAGAGAGCAGTTAAGAGTCAACAACATTGCTGTGGGTCTGTAGTCACATGTAGGCCAGACCAGGTAAGGATGGCATCTTCCTTCCCTAAAGGACATTAGTGAACCAGATGGATTTTTCCAACAATCGACAATGGATTCATGGTCATCAGTAGATTCTTAATTCCAGATATTTTATTGAATTTAAATTCCACCATCTGCCATGGCAGGATTCAAACTCGGATCCCCAGAATATTATCTGGGTCTCTGGATTAACAGTCCAGCAATGCTACTTTCATAATAAAATAAAAACATTTTATCATAAATTATTTTCATAGTTAACAAGAAACAAAGAACTATGGATGCTGGAAACCTGAAACAAAACCATAAATTGCTGGGGAAACACAGCAGGTCTGGCAGCATCTGTGGAGACAGAGCACAGTTAGCGTTTCGGGTCCAGCAATCCTTTCCAGCACTCTGAAGTTTCTCCAGCGATTTTTGGTTTTGCTTTCATGGTTAACCCTGTTACATATTCTCACATATAAAACCTCCCCATTGTAGGTGCAGTGCTAACATTGATAAATAATCAACTGAGCCATATTGTCTGCCTCTTGTCCCCATGAACACCCAGTTTGTTGGGTTTCTGTCCTTTTAATGTTGTGTATACAATTTTGCTGGCCCGTCTTGAAATTTCCCTTCCAAAGTTAGTATTGAATTTCCTTCTACTGCCCTTTCAGACAGTATATTATAGAATAATCAAGAATTCTGATGAAAATCATTGGCCTGAATTACTAACCTAAGTTCCCCTCCACTCGCTACTTCCAGAAATTTCAGATTTTATTGACCTGTGTCTTTGTTATTTTCAGAGATTAGCAGGTTAGATACTTTTTCCCTCTGAGGCTTGGGTCTTGGTTGTAACACAGCCCAGGATCAGATTAAAAGGTGTAGAGCTGGATGAACACAACAGGCCAAGCAGCATCAGAGGAGCTGGAAAGCTGACGTTTCGGGTCTAGACCCTTCTTCAGAAAATGGATCAGATTGAAGCTTTCTCCAAGTGTGGGCCTCAGTAAGAACTCTACAGCCTAGAGGTCCTATTGCATTACTGCAGTGTTATTGACACAAGAACAAAGCCTAAGGCTACATTACATTCATGTACTGAAAATATATCATTTTGGATCAGACAGCTCAGTGGAGAATCCTCCTTTGGGGTGCACTATCATTCCCAAGGTCCCTGATTCAATAATCTGACCCAATAAACAATCGTCCAATTGAGCAACTTTACATCTGAGTAAAAATCCTCAATTACTTTTGCAGCAGTACTTGTGGTCATACCTTCAGCTTCTTGAGACCTAACCATCTGACCAAACTTCTGCAATCCTCTTTTCCCTCTCCCATCCTATCAACCCAACCTCTTTAACCAAGCTTTTAGTTACCTTTCCTGATGCCTATCTATGTGGTGTGATGTCGCATCCTGTCTGATTACATTCTTGCAAAGCTTTGGAATAGTTTACCCTTTTACAGATGCTACATAAATGCATATTGTTGTTGAATGCACTGCTGATGTGAAATACCCAGCAACACTATCCCTCCTGACATCAGATTTTTTTCAACAAAATGGTCACATTTCTTGGAACATGCAGATATCATTTCCAGAGCATGACTATGTGTACCGCCAAATAAATATTGGCTATGACGTTCAGAAGGAAGGTGTTGTAATCAATGGATGAGTCAAAGAAGGATTGGAATGAGCCATGAGAGAGTTGAGAGAGAGAGAGAGAGAGAGAGAAGGAGGGTGGGACAGAAAACAAACAGCAAAAAAAGACAAAGGGTGATCAGAGAAAGCAAATGGTGTATTAGGAAAGATTGACATCAGAGTGACTAAGCAACTTGAATTTCTAAACCTCCAGGATTGTCCTGGAGTGTCCAGGAATTGAAAATTAATCTCCTCAACATTGCTGCTTTGCTTGGGTTGGTGGCAGTGCCAGACTGAAGTATGGAGTTCTGTGCTAGGGTCAGGGACCTGGGCTGCGATGCTCAGGTTCTGGGGCCAGTATTCCCAGCCAAGAACAGCACTGGATCAAGGCTTACATCCCTGCCCCTGCTAATCAGAGCTGACCAATTCTTTGAGAGATGCAAAACTGACATTAGGCTCTGCAACATTCCACTCAGTGAAGTTTTTCAACAACAGCACCAATATAAAATGCTGCAAACATTCTGCAGGTCACACAATGCCCATGGAGAGAACGGAGCAGCTAATGTTTTAAGTGTAGGCCTTTCAACACTAACTTATCCATTCCCTCACCTCAGATACATCCTCTGCTTTTGCTTTATTATCATTTACCAACTTTCCATCTCACTCACAAGCTGCTGAGGCCTCTAATAATACCTCAAATCTCTTCCAGACCCAACCTCTGTAATCTCCTCCCACAGCACCCAGGAGCCACTTCCTCTCCTAACTCAGACATCTCGAGTTTTAATTGCTCCATCATTGGTTGCCAAGCCAACAGCTTCCTAGGTCCTGAGCTCTGGAATTCCCTCCCTCCCTCGCTTTCCTCCTTGAGACACTCATTAAAACGTTTTTCTCCTTTGACTGGATTTTCAGTCATCTACCCTACTCTCTGGTTATGCAACTCCACGTCACAGTTTGACTCTCGGGATGTTTTATTTAGTTAATGCAAGTTGTTGTTGTTGACTTGGACCTGAGGCTTGATTCAGGAGGACCGGAGGTTCTAGTCACCCACAGTTGAGGGAAGCTGAAAGGTGGTGTGCGTGATAACTCTTTCAAATAACGTCAAGATGCAGCAGTTAAAGAAAAACGGAATCCCTGTGAATTACTGAAGAGCTCAAATTCACAAGATCTGTAGTTTGCATTTATGTAGTGAATTTTACAGGGAGCCCAAGGTGCCGGACAAGAGCATTTTGAAACAACAGAGAGTCATGAAATGAGAAATTAACGCCATTGACAAGGAGTTGATTTTAAAGGAGAAAAGA